CCGACCTCAAAGTCCCTATGAATCCTATTTGTAGGAAACCTGAGAAGGTCTAAGATGGTCAACAGATGAAGTAACTCCATGCGTGCTGGATGTGGACTAGCTCTTTGGTTCTCCTCTCTGAACATGGTTTGAGCAGTGGTATAGGCAGCCAACACAAAATATGTATTGGGGCGTACTGATACTTTACAGTGACATCACTCTGAGGGTGTGCTGCATGTATGTGTATGGCAGATCTAACAGTTGGAAAATGTAAGAAAATGAACAAAATGTATTTAAACAACGTATTTTCAGGAGCCTGTAATCACTACAAGCAATAATGGTCTTGTTTACGTGTTTGATTTTCAACAAAAAGGTGATAGTGACTAAGTGAAAAACGGTTGGTTAGTGCTAAGCTTGTGACTAACAAATGCAAAAATCTGTTAAACTATTGTACTTGCAGCCAGGTCATTTCTTTCTAGTCAGATTGTGCTAAAGCAAAGCTCAGATTAACAAAGTAACAAAGCCTCTGACAGTTAGTTTGCATCACACCCCCAGAGAATGTCAATGATCAGCTGCAAAGTACCAGTAGAAGTTCAACCTGACACAGCCTTCCATAAATAAGTCAGGAAGTGCGCTGTTCGGCTGACAGCGCAGAAGCACTGAGCTGCCGGGGCTCACTTGTCTTCAACCCAAAGTGGCAGAAATCCACTAGCCATGTGTCATTTTCAGCCCTTTGCAGCACAACGCAGTCATCCATCACAGCAGCCAAAAAAACGTTTGAAATACCCTGGCGTCTGGAGTGGACTCAGCGGCACCAGAGCAGTGGAATGTCTCGAGTCTGTGGAATGTAAAGAGCTCATCATCGTGGGACAAAGAGCCACAATTTCTACTCAGAGAATCTGGAGCTTTTGTGCCATTGCAGTGTCAGCCTGTAGCCTGGACATGTGGGAGCGCTAGTGTGCATGTCAGCAAAACTACAGGTGTAAACATGTGGGGCAGCGTTGTGCTATGTTACATACATCGTAGGTTTGGCCACATTTGGAAGTTTACTGTTGGCAGGCTGGCAGAGTCGTCAGCTTCGTCAGCGCTAAGGGCCAGGCACGACTCTGATGAAAGGTCACATTGCGTTTTTTAAGACAAATGTACAGTGTAAACATAGTGTTCATGACGAGGAGTGGGCGATATGTCAAAAAAATATATATATACAAACCAAAACAAAACATACCGTGGATTTCTAGATCCCAAAATAGATTTAATCACATCTTGCAGCTTTATGTTGGCTTTTAAAGAACAGATATTATGCATTGGTTGTATTGTTATTGAGTACCTCTGCTTTGGCATCTCATGCTTTAGAACTTAAAATAATAGTTATCTTTTGACAATAGACATATCGTTTCTACAAGGGATGGGCATTTGAATACATTTTCTTAATCAATTGTCGGCAGAATTAACGATTGATTTCCATTAACATTTTTAGATTAAAATTATCATAATTATTTTTACTATTATTTTACTACTGCATAAATAAATAATTTGTTTACGTTTTACAGAAATGAAGCTTCAAACCGCATGGCTAATTTGCATAAACTATAAGCTCTGAAAAAAAAAAAAAAGCTCTTTCCTTGTGCGCTGATGCAGTTCAGCTTCTGTCGGACTAATGACACGACTCTGTAGAATATGAGTGTTCTCTCTGAGACAGAAAGATGTTGTTGATGATGATGGTGAGTCTGTTCTGTGTGTGTGTCATGTTGGAGATGGTTCATGTTTTCAGAGATCAGACATGAGCAGGTTTAGTGCAGCTTATTATTTAACAGTCATTTCACTCACTTTATTTATGTTGGTCGCTTTATGTAATTTGGCATCTGTTGTGATGAAAAGACTGAAAAGTATTTGTCTTTTGGACACATGTGCACTCAACTTTATGTTGCAGTAACTGGGATACTGCGTCCACATGCACCATGACGAAACGGAGATACTCACAAAACCCAGTCATACCCGGGACACTGATGTGCATATAAACACACTCAGTGAGTGCTACAGTGATCTCCAAGGAGCCAGAGCCCAAACGTGGGACTGTGAGACCTAACAGCAACCTACATTTGGTTTGTTTATTAAAAATGAACGTGATCGACGAAATTGTTAATGGTCAATTATCAATTAGTTGACTAATCATGCCCATCCCAAGTTTCTACAGTTGCACTCCAGTACTTTAAATTGTAATAAAAGTACCATCTATGAGCAGCCTGACAAGCCCCAGGTTGGGTTAGCAACTTTTTCCAACATGATAACAGTTGCAATGAAAGTGACGTGGAGGCAGAAATTTAGCTTTTCCTTTTCTGATCTAAAAACCTGTGACGTAACAAAACTTGGGAATTCAAAAATTGCATGTTTTTATGGGGCTTAGGAGGGAAAATAAAGGTGTGATGAAGAAGGAAGAATGTTATAGCATGCTTAAAAAGAAATTTGGCATAATATGTGTTCTTTAGGAAATTTGCTGCTGAAATTTTGGCAGTGATTGGTTAAATCCACCTGTCATCACTCGCTCAGAGCATGACCAATAGGAGGAGAAAATAAGATACGGACATATCGCCCAGCCCTATCATGACGTCTATCAATCAGAAACTTCTCACAGCAACACAGTGCAGCTTCTAACACCACGGAGATTGTCTGTTATTGCTGATACTCTCGATCAGGTCCACCTGCTGTCACACCGTAATCTCCATATCGCACCATCGTCACTGTCTCGTCACGCGTCGGATGAGGATTACACAAAGTTTATGAACGCAAATGAAAAAGGAATGACATTAATTGATCTGTGGACAGACGTTTGTGGAAGAACCGCGTTTGGAGTTCGAGAAGAGAAAGTGGAAACTGTTATTGCTACTGATATCTGGCCATAAATAAGTGTACATACGTCAGCTGTACTCTACTTCACAAGTTGTCTGCATGCGTCGACATGAGTGGGTCCATTAAGCAGAGGTGGGTAGCACACAGTTACATTCACTTGCGTAACTTTTTGAAGAAATTTTACTTTTCAGAGTACTTTTTTAGCAGCATACATTTACTCCTACTTGTATAATTTAATAAGTAACATCACTCTTACTTGAGCACACGTTTTGGTTATTCTTCCCATTGTGAGTAAGTCTACAAGTGACCAGAGTCCTGCACCAGGTCCCCGCAAATAGTGGCTGAAACGGGCGGGTTTTAACGATTTTGAATTTTCGGGCGGGTAGTGATTACACATGGGCGGGTCAGGTGAAGCAAATGAACGCCGAATGGGAGAAAAATACCTGATGCCCATCCAGGGCGTCCGTTGCCCTGGAAACAAGAGACATTTCCCAACTTTTTTCGGAACGATGACAGACCAGGCTGAGAGAGACTTTAGTTTATTTATTACATAAAACACATCAGCGGAGGTGATTGGCTGCACTCCTGGTTTAGTCCTTGTTTAGACCTGGTTTAGTCCTGGTTTAGTCCTGGTCCACTCCTGGTGTAGTCCTGGTGATCAGCTTGGCGGTTGCAGCGTGTATATGTTTATGCTGGTTTCGTCCTGGTTTACACCTGGTTTTGACCTGGTTTAGTCCTTGTTAAGTCCTGGTGCAGTCCTGGTTTAGACCTGGTCCAGTCCTGGTGTAGTCTTGGTTCAGTCCTGGTGTAGTTCTGGCAATCTGCTCGGCGGCTGTGGCATGTATATATTTATGCTAATGACAATGGTTTAGACCTGGTTTAGACCTGGTTAAGTCCTTATCCAGCCCTGGTCTAGTCCTGGCGATCGGCTCTGAGGTTGTGGTATATATATTTATAATCTGCTAATGACACGGCATAGGTTTAGTCCTGGTTTAAACCTGGTTCAGTCCTGGTGTAGTCCTGGCAACTGGCTCTGTGGTTGCGGCATGTTTATATTTATAATCCGCTAATGACACGGAGTAGGTTCAGTCCTGGTTCAGTCCTGGACTATTGGGCTGTTGGACTAATGGGCTGACCCCGATTTATCACAGGCACGGATGGGTAACGGGTGGAAAGTTCATAGGTTAATGGGCTGGTATGGTCCTGTACTGTGCGAGTGTGGGTCTTCAAAAATGGACCCGTGCAGGACTCTGCAAGTGACAAAATCTTCATGAAATGATTTGAACATTTGTGTTTCTTGCACTTTCACATATAATGCAGTTTTTCAAATTTCTGCCTATTTGAAAACACCAGATTTTGTGCATTGTTTAAGGTTTTTGCTCTTTAAAGTAATTTCTTGAACGACTACTTTATATTTCTTCTTGAGTGATATTATTTGGAAGTAACGCTACTCTTACTTGAGTCAAATTTTTGGCTACTTTACCCACCTCTGCCTTTAAGTCACCGGTACCAGTCACAGTAAACATCAATGGAACATCGGACACCAACAGAAGAAAGAGCCTTGTACAGCTATGGACCAAACAGTACTGGCAACAACAGAACAGCAATATTAATCAAATTCTGATATGATTTGGATAATTTTATCAAGTTAAAAATATGGCTTATAATCTTACTAATATTGTTATAATATTTTACCCATATACAGAAAACCTTTTGTTTATTTACAAACTCAAAAGCGTGAATGCTCATTTATAGGAGCTGAACACTGAAAAAATGAAAAATCTATAGTTAATATTATTTGAATTCTGAATATTTGTTATTGATATATATATATATTTTTTTTTTTACTTTTTCTTGTTCCGGTTTCTATATTTTTTGTAATTTCAGGTGGAAAATAAATCTGTTTATGGATATTTTTTTGTTAAAATTTGTCAAAATATCTTTCAAAAGTCTAGACCTTCAAAATGTATAAAACAAGTAAAAACTACTCAATTCATGTAATAATAACGTATGTTGATCTTTGCTTTTTGGAGTGAAGGGGACTGGTCTGACCATGAACCCTTGGACTCCAGAGGAAGTCTAAGAGTGCACTAGAGCGCCCCCCGCAGTCCGGCAGTAGACAGTGAGGGTCAGAGAAGGGTATACAGATGACTGTTGACCATGTTGACTTTTTTTTACTTTTTACTGAACATGTCCATGAGCGGGGTGGGGATGAACTTCATGACGGTGTCCACGATGCTCTCCTCCTCTTCCTCGTCCCCACACCCGGTCGGGACAGCCTTCTTGGGGCGGGTCAGGCTGCCCTCGGAGGCCTGCTCCATGGCTGCAGCCGCCTCAGCCTCCTTCTCCTCCTTCTTCTTGATGCCGTACTGTAAAACACACACACAAAAAAAAACAGAGAGTAGAGTTGAACCATTTGGGAAATATATAATAAATGGTCAGATTTTTATGTAGTACTTTTCCACCTTCAAACACTCAAAGTGCTTTACACATCTAAGAACCACTCAAGTTTACACAGACACTGGGGGCAAGGTGAGTTAAATGTCACCCACAACAATAGCATTCTTCTGTGGGAGCTGGAATCGTACCGCCAACCAGTAGATCTGTAGAACTTGACCAAAGATCTGTAGAACTTGACCAAAGATCTGTAGAACTTGAAAAAAAAAGATCTGTAGAACTTGACCAAATATCTATAGAACTTGACCAAAAATCTGTAGAACTTGAAAAAAAATCTGTAGAACTTGACTAAAGATGTTTATGTCCCCAAGTCCAAACAGCCCCCACAGTGGAGTGTTTTAAGTCTCGTCTTAAAGGTTGTATGGAGGATTTTTTTTGTTTCAAATTGTCAATGATAGCATTATAGAGATGCAGTAGCCTTGTAATTATGATGACCAAAAAAAAGAGAATAAAATTCATCAACTCTGGACGTGGTGGGGCTAAACATTTGCCAATAGATAACGAGACTGCTTCGTTATCTGTTAGCTGATAGGCTGTCAATCAAACTCCCTACGTTTCTAACTGACTTGTCTGCGCGCTGCCATTACGTGGTTTACGTACGCCTGTCACGCAGTCCACAGACGCAAGACGCACAGACGCTGTTTACTCCACCAACGCAACAGTTCTTAGCGGCTCTTTTGACCTATGTCTTCCTCGCAGTTAGCACAGAGTTTGTTGCAATGGCAGACAAGAATATACCATTGCACCATCCGTTTTTGATGTCGCTGAAAGAAGAAGACAAGGGGAAAAGCAGCGAAGCCAAACTAAGGTAATTCTTGGAGATTCATTCCAGCGATGGCGCGACTGAAGCAGACGAAGGGTCTAAAGACTGACGCACTGGTCGCCAAATTACTCCTGGACAGGTAACTTCTGCTTATTATGAAAACGTACTTTATTTCCAAGAGCTAGACAAACGTTTTTCAGGACACGAATGCGATATCCTATGTCTGAAAACGTAATTTTCAAGGCAAAGAAAGAGTCCGCTTGCTGCTGCGTGTTGTAGCTAGTTCATTCGCACGGAATCTCCGCGCACCCCTCTCTGCACCGCTCCCCTCTCCTCTCCCTGCTCCCTGCTCCTCACTTCTTCTCCATGCACGAAATGTCCGCGCACTCCCTCCCCCCGCTCCTCACTTCTCCACCTTGCCTAACCAACACTGTAGTTAGTTGTTTACAAGTCATTTGCAGCGATGAGTACTTGTTTTCTAGAAACAAACCTGTTTCTGGCGTAAGGAGGAGGCGGGAGGAGGCGTTTCTACGTAGGGAGCTGTGGGGGAGGGGGGTGGATTTCTCGTTCCTTGGAAAATCCTCTATACAACCTTTAAAGCCCACTTTTATTCACTGGCTTTTAACACTGCCTGCATTGTGCGGTCCTCTGTGTTTAATTTATTTTATTTATTTTCAATGTATTTTACTGGGTTTATTTATTTATTGCTATTTTATTGTTTTTGATCTTATTTTATTTTACTGGTTTTATTCATTTATGACTAGTATGATGAAAGCTGAGATTTTATTTTATCATTATACTATTATTGTTGTTATAAGTATGTATTTGTGCAGCACACACATTTGTTTGTGGAATGTGCTATATAACTAAAGTGGATTGGATTGGATATGTGGAGAACAAGATTCAAACCACCAACCTTCGTATCAGTTCCTGTACTTTGCCTTTGTATCATGAGCCAAAAATAAGGAGTCGTGCAAAGGCAAAAGGCAGTAACAGTGCATGTTTTGATTGGGATTTAGTTCATAAATATATATTATTTTAAAATCCAACCTCTCTTTAATGTGAAACTATTTTGTGCACTGCAATGTAACTTGTCTGTCAAACTTTAACTATGTAAGTGTCGCCACACGATCCTGATCAGCACTAAAAAGGAAATCCAAAACTCTTCTGTATCATTTCAAACTAACACCATGATGACTCGACCTTGGTGAGGTTTTCTTATAATGGATGGAAGTCTCAAGAAAATCAAGCAAATAATAATAACATCAGTTTCTGCCTTTTGCCTTTGCACGACTCCTTCTTTTTGGCTCATGAATACAAGGCAGAGAACAGGAACTGACAAATAAGAGTCAAAGGTCAAATTTGAGCTCAATATTTTTCACATACAAATATTTCTTCATCAACTAGTTGTCAAATTTTGGGAGCCCTTCCTGTAATACTTTTATCTGGACAAAACAGAACCTTTGAAGACATTTTTCTCAGTTTCACACTCTGGCCAGTTCAGGTCTTTTGCCTTTGTAGGGTGGAATAAACTTCACATAAAATGATAGGTCTTGTGCCCATAGTTACAACAGAGTTGATTCCTGGGCAAGCTTTCAAAATTTTATTCCATTACTAGTATTACTATTATGATTATTATTTGTAAAGTCTATGGGAAAGCTGAATGGAAAATTTACTTCTGGAATCAGGCTGTGACTCCAAAAGAATTGACAAAAACACATCACATTTCAGAATTCACACGGAGCTATACTACAGTTTCCATGCAGAAGAAAGGGAATTTTGTTGTTTCTGGATGAAATTATGGAACTTCAAAAATTCCAGTCTTTCCTATTTGCTAATTGCGTCCACTTAAATTGCTATTTTGATCCAATTATGATTCATCTTTGCAGCCCTAACAGAGCGAAAAGATTGAAATGAAACCCCAACATCCGATTCTACAAGTTTTGCTGTATAGCTCCAGCTGCGCCCTGGGCAAGATTTCATATTTGACAAAACGGAATTTGCGTAATCTGATTGTGACGGATCACTTTCTATTTTCAGCAGCCTAAAACACGAGTAAAAATAAGTTTGCAGAGATTGCTTCTTCCAAGATTCAAAAGGCAATGTGATTATACGATGTAGGTTTTGTTATTCCTTCAGCCTTTCTTTTTCCTGTTCCTCCAGAGAACACTAAACCTCCGAATCATTTGCTTTATACCGTTTATGCGATAAGTCGCTGAGTCTTAAGTCATAACCGGTAACGCACCACAACAACATTATCGTTCTAATAGGCTCTGTCCACAACGGCGAATGGCCGACTCACTCTTCGCATCATTACTTGCTGTCCACTTGTATCTCTGTGAGGTTTTTGCAGAGTCATGCTAAAACAAATAAGTATTTAAACACAGTGGAGAGTGCGCAGTGACTGGATATCCCTGATGTACTGTATACTTCACCGTCTGAATTTAAACTAGAAGAAAATGGATGGATCAGTGGTCTTTATGTCTCAATGCCAACTCTAATGCTACTTTTAAGGCTTAATACATATTTAAGTAATGCCACAAACTGAATTAATCTACACAAGAAACAAATTACAGTCTTTATTTTAGATTTTAATTGGTTGTTTGTTTTATAATGGTTTAATAAAAGCTGATAAAAGGTGGAGAGCCCCTGCCTCAAGTGGAGGAGTTCAAGTATCTCCGGGCCTTGGTCATGAGTCAGGGGAGGATGGAGCATGAGATTGACAGGCAGATCGGTGCAGCATCAACAGTGATGTGGTCACTGTATCAAACCGTGTTGTGAAGAGGGAGCTGAGCCAAAAGGCAAAGCTCTCGATTTACCAGTCAGTCTATGTTCCTACCCTCACCTATGGTCATGAGCTCTGGGTAATGACCAAATGGACAGGATTGCGGATACAAGTAGTTGAAATGAGTTTCTTCCACAGGGTGGCTGGGTGCTCCCTTAGAGATAGTGAGGAGGAGCTAAGTCACACAGGAGGAGCTCGGAGTAGAGCCGCTGCTCTTGTTATACGGATGTCTCCTGGGCTCCTTCCTCAGGAGGTGTTCCGGGCATGTCTCACCAGGAGGAAGACCTACGACACGCCTACGACATGTCTCTCGGCTGGCCTGGGAACACTTTGGGGTCCCACCAAATAATTATCCATATTTTAAAAAAAAAAAAAAAAAAAGGTTTTGCGGACAACTACTACTGTTACAATATTACAATGTTACAATGATATTGTAACAAGAAATGCTCACTGAGGCAAAACTGAAAGGAATCTGTGAAGGTTTTGCCACAAAGTGTTTGCCACACATTGTGCAGTTGGACGTACGGTGCTATAGGTTTATTTACGGAACAGGGAACAGGTTATTATCAATACATTTGGGACATATATACCAGTATTACGTTTGGGACTCATACTATAGACCGCTAGACTGTTACACTATCAGACTTTTCCTTGGGGCCAAACTCATCTGATGTGCACAGGAATCATTATGTGACAAATACAGTTATTACAAAACATATTTATTTTGCCATTTATTTTATTTTTCCCGGAGGAGCTAGAGGGAGCGTCTGGAGTGAAGGAAGACTGGGAGTCCCTGCTTAGACTGCTGCCCTCGCGACCCAGCCCCGGATTAGCAGAAGAAAATGGATGGATAAGTTGGCATTAGCTCATCTATCGACCCAACCAATCATGCTTCCACCAGCGCACACACTTGTCACTGAAGACCACACTTCCCCCACATTCCCGGCATGAAAGTGGTGTGGTGATTGAGTGGTGCTCAGAGGGGTTGATAGTGCAGATCAGCAGCCTCACTTGCCCCAGTCTACCCCAGGGCAGCTGTGGCTAGAGTAGCAGCTTGCCATCAGCTGTGGACTGAATGAATAATGAGTGCTTTGATAGGCTTTGACAGCCCTAAGCACAATACAAGTGTAAGGCTTTATTATTTCATATTATTACGCCTGCATCCCAGTGAATAAGAGAGTGATTGACATGTCACTGGTTTAAAGCTTGCAGAGAATAGAATAAGTTCCTTGATCAGCCTCATTTACTTCATAATCCGTCTGTGTGCATGCCTCCTGTGCTGCCTCCCCCTCACTCTGCCTCAGGCTTGTGTCTTCTACACAAAGGACGACAGGCTGGCTCACAGGAATTGTCCAGTTATTGGTGAAACAGGATTCAATCACTCTGCAGCTTGTATTTCACTTTTTATGCAACACTAATGTGCTACAAATCAGAAATGTGATGTCAGACCCCGAAGCATTCTGGATAATACGGTTCCAGAAATTGTAAGAAACAGTACAGCAATAAAGGAGCTATTTTCAACACGTTTTGGCAAGCCCATGTGAAAATGACACATGTGAGTAGCTTCACATCTTGGAAACGTGCAGGAAGCTCATGACAGACTGCACAAGCCACATGATTTTTAAGGCAAGACTTTTTGAAATGAAGATATGGCCCAATTAAAACACAAGATTAAGGCACTTTATTGATGCCCATGGGGGAATCTACATTTGAGCCATCCTTCAGTTCCACTGGGGCTCTCTGTCTGGTACCTTTCTTTTCTTAGAGAAAAATCCTGCACACCGTTATACTTGCAAAATGTGAGATTTATTAGGATGAACAGTGCAACGTTTCGGCACTAGGCTTTCATAAGGCAAGGTGAGGCAAGGCAAGTTTATTTGTATAGCACGATTCGTCCACAAAGTAATTCAAAGTGCTTTACAGCGGGGTCCCCAACCCCAAGGCCCGGGGCTGTGGTGCGGACCGTCCCTCCTCTCGTATGTCGCACTGGTTGCGCCACTTAACCAGAATTAAAACAGGTCTAAACAAGGACTAAAACAGGTCTAAAAACAGGTCTAGAAACTGGTCTTAAACAGGTCCAAAACAGGTCTGCAACAGGTCTATCACCAGGACTAAAACAGATTTAAAAACATATCTAAAACAGGACTAAACCAGGTCTAAAAACAGGTCTAGAAACAGGTCTAAAACAGGTCTAAACCAAGATTAAAACAGGTCTAAAACAGGTCTAAACCAAGATTAAAATAGGTCTAAAACAGGTCTGAAACAGGTCTATCACCAGGACTAAAAGAGACCTAAAAACAGATCTAAAAACAGATCTAAAACAGGTCTAAACCAGGTCTAATAACAGGTCTAGAAACAGGTCTAAAACAGGTCTAACACCAGGACTAAAACAGGTCTAAACCAAGATTAAAACAGGTCTAAAACAATTCTAAACCAAGACTAAAACATGTCTAAAAACAGGTCTAAAACAGGTCTAAACCAAGAGTAAAACAGGTTTAAAACCGGTTTAAAGCAGGTTTAATAGCAGGTCTAAAAACAGGTCTAAAACAGGACTAAAACAGGTCTAAAACAGGTCTACAAACAGGTGTTAAAAATAGGTCTAAATCCAGACTAAAACAGGTCTAAAACAAGACTAAAACAGGTCTAACAGCAGGACTAAAACAGGATTTAGCCAGGATTTAATCATGCTGCCGCACCGCCCACCGGCCCTTCCAACTCCCTCTGGTCCGCGAAATATTGTCTAATATAAAACCACTGCTTTGCAGAATAAGAAATAAACTTAAATAATCATCATAAAATTAAAGAGATACATTAAATTAGAGATAAGAGTGCGGAATGAAAACCTTAAAACCTAAAAACCTTTCAGTCATCAGGTAAACAGGCCTAGTGCCGAAACGTTGCACTTTTTGTCCTAATAAATCTCACATTTTGCAAGTAAGACGGTGAGCGGGATTTTTCTCTGTGTTCTTGGGCTGCTCCCTCTCCTCCAACGCACCCGTCCCAAGTAACTGATGTTCGAAGTTTTCATTCTTTTATACCTCTTCTTAAAGTGCGTATGACAGGTTTTGACAATTCTCTAATTTTGACTTAATACCTACAGTAAATATAAATTACAGAAGTAGCAAAGTAAAAAAAAAAAAAAAACATGTTGAAAATTTAGTTAAAAGTGGAGACACAAGAAATACATTTTTCCTGATACTTTAGACATGCTTTCAACAAAATAAGTGTGCTTTCTTGTAGTTATATTTGTCAAATAGTAATCTTTGTGTACATTAGAGGAGTTTTGGCCTACTTAAAGCACGGTTGCTAGGTAACAGTTATGGAATTCCCCAGTGAGATGTAACGATTTCTGACCAGGAAGTAAAAACCTTAAAAAATGGTCAAACTAGCTGAAAAATGTAATGTAAATGTAGATGTTTTGTAAAATCTTAAATGTAATGATCTTCTATGTGTTTTAATAATGTTTCAGTGAGTGGTTCGAGCTGTCGTGGACACTGAAAATCACATGTTTCTGAGTCTGTGTGTGGAGGAAACCATTACTGCGCGGTGAAAACAGCAGCTCCTTGGATAAAAATGAGACAAGAAGCAAAGAAACACATTCTGTCTGTGACTTTGTCCATAATACAATGATGTCAGAGCATAATGTCTGAGTTCTGACATGGAATCACGCTTTTTGTAAATGTAAATGAACACCAACTGTGACGAGTACTATCAAGAGTTGGCTTTTAATTTCGTCTTTAATTTCTCATTAGTTATTCCTTTTTTAACGGTTTTGAAGAAATTAAAAAAGCCTCCCATGCTCCCCCCCAAAAAATTAAACGTAATAAACAGAAAGGTGGACCTGATGAGCCAAAGAACAGAACAAAAAGCTGCGACACCGGGCCAACCCCACACAGGGCCGCAGAAGTCGGTGCCAGCACCCGTAACTAAAGACAAACAAACAAACAAACAAAAAAACAACAAACGTGAACCCAAAGGAAAAGTGACAACAGCACAGCCGGTTCCACCAGGTCAAAACAAAAGGCTAACAGGTAACAAAAGCTACATGGCGGCCCACCCTGCACCTGGCTGACAGGGACGAGGCCAAACTCAGGGAGCGTGCACGGTCTGGCTCCACACAGCCATGCAAAAATAAACCATAAAAAAAGTTCAGCAAAAAAACACTAGTTACGAAACGTATTACAAAAAAGGAAACAAAAACAACTGATGGCCCAAAACAGTTCGCCCGCGCGTAGCACCAACTCATTTGGGCTGAGCAATTAATCACATTTTCATCATGATCCGGTCATTTCTAATTACTAAGAGGGGATGTTGTGCTAAATAACGTTCCCTCCGAATGAGGGATTACACTTCTTCACTATCACATCAACAACACAGTGGCGGATGGTGATGTAAACACTAGGAGGCACTAAAACTTTTTTTTTTTTATAAATAATTATCAAAAAAAGTATGTTTTGCAGACCTCTACTAATACTACAATAATAGGCTACGTTCAGACTGCAGGGCTTTTTCTTGTGTATATTTTGGACAGTATTCTCCCTAGTGTGATCATTAATGTGGAACTCTCTAAAATAGAACTTTACTTCCTGGAATTTTCAACATATTTGTCGACTTTTCTTCACAGATTGCTTCTTGTTTGGTGTAAAGTTATAATTTATATTTACAACAGCTATTATCCTATTCAATTTAACACTTTAAGATTAGGGTAAGTAGTAATTCTGGTGAAGGACAGTATCAGTGTCTATGAGTTTACGTGTTAAGTCTCCACCGAGCGTAGAGCCCCGTGTGCTCGTGTGGAGGGGGGTGCTGTACCTTGTCTCGGATGCCCTGGCGCACGCTCTCCCTCTCGGCCTCCATGCGTGCGTACTTGGCCTTCCTCTCCTCCTCCTGCTGCCTGAGGGCCTCCTGTCTCTCTTCTTCTTTCTTGGCGGCGTCGGGGTCCTTCTCCTCTTCGCCTCCCAGCATCTTCCCCATGTCTTTGGTGGCCCCTGTGACAGAGAGAGAGGAGAATAAACATGGAGTCAGTACTAGACGTGGGACGGTAGAGAAATTTGGTGTCACGTTCAGACTGCAGGGCTTAATGCTCAATTTGGATTTTTTTGTGAAATCAGTTTTTTGCGAGGTCATTCACATTTCTAATTAAATGTGACTTGTATGTGATCTCCAGTGTGAACTTTAAATGCCCCAAAAGCGTCCCGCATGGGCATTGGAGGACACGACGACATCACGTGCAGAGAGTGTGTTCAGTGTTTACAGAAGTTGCCTAAGGGCCTGGCTCTAGTGCACGCACACGTAACCTCACGAAACCACAGCCGCGTGTCAGTGGCTCCACCGGCAGCTCCAGCAGGACGTACACACGCAGCACTGACTCTGTGTTTGTCAATGGGAAAGTCGATCAAACTTGACTGGGCGCGTTTAGCCGCTTGTATCAGGTCTACAGTGAAACTAACAGATGAACAGGCTTGTATTTCCCATCTATACAGGCTGACCAGGGCACATGTGAGGATTTAAAAAGTAAATTTCAAAGCATTAATTAAGTCTTTCTGGACCTGGGCTCTTTCACACAATACACAACTGCCCCAGGAGCATGTTGTGCTGATGGTAAACGCACAAACACAACAACAGATGCTGTCTATGTATTTTGACGGGGATACGCGCCTATGCTCACGTAAAGTGTCAAAAATAGGATGGATCCTATTTTCTGTAATCTACGCATGCAGGGCATTCTGCTCCATATGCACATCTAGTGTGTACAGTGGAGCCGCCCTCATTGACTTCCAATGCATTCTGAAAGTTACGCCTCTAAAAGTTTCAGTTTTTATGCTTGCGTAGAGCGAAATATGCATGCAGTGGGCTTGTCTCCAAAAATCCGGTCCAGTTCTTTGTAAATGGACAGGTTACATGTCCATGGCTGCTTCATTTGAGTCTTTAGTCTCCTTGTATTTATCTCGCAGGCTCTTTATTTTTTGCTGGCATTGGGGCCAGGACTGCCTTTAGCCACATTCAGACATTTCTTTGGCAATCATTTCAAAAACCACCCGGTTCTGATAAGACCCCTCCAATTTGGCCTGAATACAGCAATCCCTCGAAATATTATTTATATATAACCTCCCTTTCCCTCCATTGACTAGACTCCGAGCCAAACGTGTAGGTGGGATGAATGTGACCTGGCTGTTCAGACTGAAGTCGCATGTCAAAAGATCGGATATGCATCGGTTTTAGGAGCACATATCCAAGTGGACTGGGTCACATTTGAAAAAAAAAAAAATCAGATCTGTGTCATTCAGACTGTCATTAAAAGATCAGATACAGGTCACATAGGGGCGAAAAAAAAGGATCTGGGTCACTTCAGGCTGCAGTCTGACAGTCTAAGTCTCTGCTCACAAGCCTAAGTAAACAGGAAGTTCTCTGCACTGCTCCCTATTCTCCCAGCACACAGCCCCTCCCTGCTCAGCCCTCCACTAAATATGGCAATTTCAAAGCAACAAAATGTAAAACGGTGAATGGATATGTGTTAGAAAGACGTGTAGGCTAATATCCCCATTTTCTTTAATAATATGATTGCATCTTTGTAATTAAGAGCGGTACAGCCGATCTTCTTTCAGTAAACGCGTGTGTTTTTGAGAGGAGTTCAGACTTCCAAGGATCGGCTTTGATGAATATTTTTCAGAACAGTTGCCGCCTGTTTATTTGCTCTGCTCCGTGCAATTGAACACATCAAAGCCCCGGCAGATTGAGCTTCCCCTCTCAGTAACGCCGCAGACCAAAACACTGAACCACACGTTAATCCAGGGAGGCCAGGCTTTAATTTGTGTCACTGCTGATCTAAAATGATTGAGAACATGTCCAAACACGTATCTTATTTTCCTGGCTGTTTCTTGCCCAGTGCAGTTGGATGCCTCTTCTAGTCGTACACAAGACAAGTCTTTCTTCATGTTGTGCTACTGCAATTTGAGAGATGTGAATTGCTGTTTTCACCCCTTAAATCCATGTATCATTTGTTCATTCATTTTTCGAAATAAAACCAAAAATAAGAAAATGAAAAAAACAACAATTTTCTTCATTATTTTCCTCTACAACCAAAATAAAAATTAAAAATAAAAAAGATAACTATTCATTTTTTCAGTTTTCGATTTTGGGTTTAATTGAATAAATGAACTGGACTGAACCAGGACTGAACCAGAACTAAACCAGGTCTAAACCAACCAGAACTGAACCAGGATTGAACCAGGTCTAAACCAGGACTGAACCAGGACTAAACCAGGTCTAAACCAGGACTGAACCAGGACTGAAGCAGGACTGAACCAGGTCTAAACCAGGACTGAACCAGGACTAAACCAGGTCTAAACCAGGACTGAACCAGGACTGAACCAGGACTGAACCAGTACTGAACCAGGTCTAAACCAACCAGAACTGAACCAGGATTGAACCAGGTCTAAACCAGAACTGAACCAGGACTGAACCAGGTCTAAACCAGGACTGAAGCAGCACTGAAGCAGGTCTAAACCAGGACTGAACCAGGACTGAACCAGGACTGAGACCAGGACTGAGACCAGGACTGAGACCAAGACTGAAACCGGGACCAGACCAGGACTGAGACCAGAGGTGAGACCGGTTCAGTCCTGGTTCAGACCTGGTTTAGTTTGGGTTCAGTCCATATGCGGCGCAAAAGTCTAGCATCACAGTTTAATCACATAAACGGGAAACGTTCATTTAAGCTAAAAAATTAGACAACTGAAGGCGACGGTGAATTTGTCCACGTTTGGTTGTGATTCTGTGGAGCGTTGGGGGGGACGTGAAATGCTTTCTTCTTCCTAGGGGGGGCGTGACAGAAAATAATACATGCATCCCCAATTTCCCAGTGGGATGCGTCTATTGACAAAGCTGATCTTTTCAAGTCTTTTGAACCATATCGCTTTTGTTTCTGATTCTGATATTGTCATATTTTAGTTATGGGATTCGGACATCGTAATTGTGTAGTTGTTGGATGTCCTAACACCGGAAAACAGCTCGAGAAATGGGCTTCGGAAGTTTGCGAATAACTGCAAAAGGGAATCAGATGTGTGTGACTGCAAACCTCCGTTCAAACTGTTTCCCTTCCCAATGGAAATGAAAAATAGCGAAAGGCGATGGGCAATATTGATACAAAGGAAGGACGAAAAAGGAAACATTTGGCTACCTAAATCATCTCGAGTTTGCAGCGAACATTTTGTATGTGCAGCACCATCCACATACATCGTAGTCGCATTTCACTATTTATCAATTCTGTTGAGAAGGGAAACAGTTTGAACAGAGGTTTGCAGTCAACCTCGCAAACTTCTGATGCCTGTTTTCCGCTGTTTGGACATCCAACAACAACACAATTATGATGTCTGAACGTCATAATTAAAATATGACAATATCAGAACAAGAAACAAAAGTGATATGGTTCAAAAGACTAGAAAAGATCGGCTGAGACAATAGACACATCCCACTGGGAAATCAAAGATGGTAATTTGATGCTCACTTTTTCGGAGGATCCTTCCCAGTACGCACGATGACCAGAAGTCCAAAATTCAAGATGCATGTATTGAGAAGTACTGGTTTAGTTCCACTTTAACCAGCAACCACAAAGCGCACTGTGCCCTGTGCATGTTACTGGACTCTTCTCTTATTTCACTAGTGTTAAACAGGCCCGTGGAGCTGTGGAGAAATGCACAACCAAACCTCTACGTGATAAACCCTTAACTGTCCCGGCCAGAGGAAGCGAGGTGTCACAAAGGGTGACAGCTCCGGAGCTAAAAATGGAAAGCGTAATGCTCCCTGTTAGCGGGGCTTGGAGGTGTTAAGCCTCTAATGCTTTAAAATTCAATTGTACCTTCCGTCCCAAATGCTCTTATGATCAAAGTCGGTGTTGACTTTTGTAAACACTGCCTGCGCTTCCACCCACAGCCAATGCAAATCTTTTCAACATTAGCATCCGAAAAGTGCAGAACAATTGCGAGTTGAATCCATCTTGGAGCAGATCCGCGGTTACCTGGCTACGGGAGCAGTGTGTCGGCTGTGCTTAGCTGTCGGCTGCATACATTAGCGTTGTAATTCAGGACATGTTAGCAGCTGTAATGATTCATAAATATTAATAAGTTGTCTGTTAGTATCTATTCACAAGATGTAGCGTAGAGAGGAGCTTGATTCTCCGGAGATGACGGAACCTTCGTTAACCTCTATAATATTTTCAGAGGTAAAATGTGAAATGTCATTTGAGTGCGAAAGTGCATCTAGGGCAGCGCAGTTAGTCAGATTTAATCAAGATCGAAAAAAAAAATAAATAAATAAAAATGCTTGTGGTTTGAGGCAGACTTTGGAAGAAGAAATTTTGGGGTTGTTTTGTTTAAAAGTTCTGCACAAATAAGCCCAGTTCATGTTCAGAAAGTTATGATTAATGAAATGTTCGGCAGTGTCGCTGGATGAACCAAAGGCAGTACAAAAACATGAATAAAAACAGAAAGGAAACAAAAAGGATGCTATTGAAAGCTATGCTCATTAGTTTTTTTTTTTTTTTATAATGAAAAAGCTAAAACTGAATGAGATTTGATCATTATCAGGAACAAAAAGGATCATTTTGTCAAGTAAAACACTGAACAAAGCATCACAATGAAACTTGAAAGATGCTATATTTTACCGTCTTAAAAATGTGAAAAACAGAACTGGTTTCTATTTCTTTTCCTGTAGAAATTCAAATATAAAGGCATCAGACTTAGATCAACATGACATTTACAACTAAATTCTGTAACAATTTAATATCTGTGGGGTTTATAAAGTTTCAGACAGATTTTGAAAATAATATGATATGTGGTCATTAGATGCTGATTAGCACCGAGCAAGCTTTCAAACTTGACATTTACTGAAAAATACTTTGAAAAAGATGCATCACTGAGCTCGCCTTGGGCTCGCCTCTTCACAGATCTGTTAAAGAAGTGGTAAAATTGCTGAACTCTGAGCTTCATTGGTTTCTGGAAATCGATATGATTCATCAGCTGTGTGTGCA